TGCTCAGAGCAGCAGGAGAGGTGGGGACAGTTAGGAGTGCTAACAGCTGGGGTGGAAGGGATCATGATTTTCCTCCCAAAGGGAAGTCTGTCAGTGGAAAGTCATTCTCTGTGCTAGGAGACCAGGGAACTTGACCTCTGTCTTGGATATCCTCTCTCTGAGAAGGGCCTCCTGAGCTAGGGTGGAAGTTTTGCATGAATCTCAGATTTCTTGGAGGTAGGGTTTTATGTGGTTTCCAGCTGGGATTTAGACATCACAAAGGCTTTCTGGTGATCCCTCAGAGTACATGTTTGCAGGAGGATAAGGGCAAACCTCAGGAAATCTGACGTACTGTCTTGACTCAGCACCAAATCCTGGCTGAGAAGAGCACCACCCAGTTCAGGTCCCAGCAGGCTCATGCTTGAGGCCTCGGGGTGGGGATGGGGACTGTGAATAGAAAAACAGAAGGTACAAAAGACAAAAGCCTTTTCTTCACCACAGTTTCTCTAAGAAACCAGGGCATGTGTGGTCACAGTGTGAATGACTGACACTAAAGCATGGGGGTGACACATTCACCATTTCTGCACTGAGTCCGGAAGTCTGTGTTCCTATGAGCCCTGGAGGCTCCCCGATCAGTGACCACAATGACAGCATCTGAGGGGCAGCTGGTGGTGGTGAAGACAGCTCAGCTGTGGGTGCCCAGTCCCCTTCTCGCCATCAGGAGAAGGGAGCACTGGAGGTTTGAGCAGAAGTTCAATGACAGCAGCTGCCCCAGGAGAGAAAAAAAAGAAGAGAAAAAAGGTACTTCTTGGAATATCAAAGGTCAAATTCTTAGCCACCTCTTAGGCACTCCCATGGGAAACTTAAAAATTAGTCCAATGGACTTTGCAAGAAGTTTTTCAATCACAGGTGAAGGGCACCATCTGTTATTAATGTTAGTGTGACCATATTTTAAACAGAAGGCTGGTAGCCCAGAGAAACATGGACTATGTTTGGGTCAGAATCGGGGCACTGGACTTATATTCAAATATGTGAATTTTCCTGAGTGCTGGATTAGACATTAACAATGGTCATCAGTAGGTGGTTCTATAGACTCGTGTTTGTGTCTCCCTTTGAAGTCCCCAGAAAGTTCGCTTGTAACTTCCACCACAAGCATGGACACAGTGAGAAGGACACAGTGAGAAGATGGCCATCTGTGAACCAGACAGAGAGCTCTCACCAGACACAGAATCTGCTATACCTTCATTTGGACTTTCTAGCCTCCAGAACTATGAGAAATAAATGTTTGTTGTTTATAAGCCACCCAATCTACAGAATTTTTGAAATTTGCCCTCCTAATTCTGACTCCTAAAAGACCTAAGTCCTAGTATGTATACAGAAGATTATTTTTCTAAAAAAGATTTTATTCATTTTTGGAGAGAGAGCAAGGGAGAGAGAAAGAGAGGGAGAGAAACATCAGTGTGTGGTTGCCTCTTGCATGCCCCCTACTGGGGACCTGACCTGCAACCCAGGCAACCCAGTGCCCTGACTGGTGACTCTTTTGTTCACAGGCTGCATTCAATCCACTGAGCTACACCAGTCAGGGCAGAAGATTCTTTATAAAATAACAATTGAACTTGTAATGTGAAGGAACAAAATCTTCCTATAAGGTCTAGAAGACTGCCAGGACAGAGCTATTATAGCCCAGTTAATGACAGCCAAGAGTGATGCTGCACAGGAGCACAGCAGGCCTTGAACCCCGAGTTTCTGAGAGAGGTCCAGTCTAGCTAGCTGGGTCTCTGACGGGATGGTTCCATATGTAAACAAACATGATGGGTGCATTTGGGTCCTTGAAACCTTCCAGAAGTAACAGATATGTTACAATAGTCGGGAGAATCCTGAAGGTATTGGGAATTTCAGGAGGAGCTTAAGCTCAGACGTCTGGGGTGGGGATGGGGGAACTGGCATAAGAGCAGTCAGTAGGCCAGTCCTCACACCATCACAGAGGGCTCGAGAGCAGGGGTTTGGGCAACTGTAATAGGGACTCAGGCACATGGGATAAGAAAGGAACAGGTTCCCAGAGCTGGAGTGAAGGTGGAGGCTGGCTGTCAGGGTCGAGGTATATATAGGTTTGGGTGAACTGATGGCTATGGTGACTTAACTCTGGGAACTCACTGGGTCAGGCCTTGAGGCTAGATACTGCTCTGTGGTCCTCACAGGACTTTGGGTTGATTAAGGCTTGGCCTGTCATATATCTCCACTTTCCTTAACCTCAACAAGCTACATGGGACCAAATCCATGGGTTCCAAGCCTCTGGCCTACCCCATCATACCCTAGCTGAGCCCAGAGGTTTATCTTGGGCCTTCCCCTGTAATTGCCTTTCCATTCATGGCTGTAGGTAGCCACACCACATTATGACTCCACAGAGCTGGCACTCGGCTCCGTCTCCTGTGGACTGGTGCTGAGATCACCCAGAGTTCTCCCACTCCATGCAAACACACTCTTCAGCACTCCCTCCTCCCAGCTCCACCCCAGTTTCACCCTATTTAAAATGCTCCAAACTCCAACATAACCTCTGTGGACATCTATATCTGTATCTCCAACATTCTTTCCTCTGTTTATTCCCTTTCTAAGGGAAGGGGAGCCAGGATGTTATGTGTGGTGTGGGTAGAGTTGTCTCTGTCCCTCCCAGCTACAGTAGTGACCAGTTAAAGAACCAGTGCTAGACTTCCAGCAAGATGGAGGCATAGGTGGACACACCGTACCTCCACGCACAACTAAGATTGGAACAACAACAATTTAGAGGTAGAATAGCACCCAGAACTGATAGAAATTTATCTGAATGGAAGTTGGACAGCCAAGAAGTTGAAATAGACCTGTTTATCCAGACCAGTAGGAGGGGCAGAGACAAGCAGCCAGCGCAGGTTGCAGCACAGAGAACAGGGAGAATTGGGCGCAGAAGGCAACCGGGAGCCCGGGAGTGCATAAGGCATCTGGGGCACGCGAGATCGCAGCAGGTGGATCCTGAGTATGCAAGCGGCAGCTGGCAGACCTAGGTAGGCGGTGATTGTGGAGCAGGGCAGAGCGTGCAACCAAGGATCCCAAGGAAGGGACTGAGGTCCCATGGAGAACGGAGCTACCACCGCCATTGTTCCCTCTCGACCCTGCCCTCACATACAACATCACAATCTAGTGACTGGGGTGCCCAGCCCTGGTGAACACCTAGGGCTCCAGCCCCTCACCGTAATGGGAGTGACCAGCTGAAAAAAAAATAGCTCAAACAGAAGAACAAATCAGTGCCCCAGAACTCATCCTTTTGAGTGACCAAGAGATAGCTAACCTATCAGATGCACAGTTCAAAACACTGGTAATCAGGAAGCTCACAGAATTTGTTGATTTTGGTCACAAATTAGATTAAAAAAATGCAGGTTACCATAAAAGAAATGAAGGAAAATGCATAGAGAACCAATAGTGATGGGAAGAAAACTGAGACTCAAAACAATAGAGTGGGCCAGAAGGAAGAAAGAAACAACCAAACAGGAAAGAATGGAGAAATAAGAATTCAAAAAAACTAGGAGGAGCTTAGGAACCTCCAGGATATTTTTAAATGTTCCAACATCCGAATTATAGGGGTACCAGAAGGGGAAGAGGAAAAGCAACAGATTGAGCACGTATGTGAACAAATAATAAAGGAGAACTTCCCCAATCTGGCAAAGGAAATAGACTTCCAGGAAGTCCAGGAAGCTCAGAGAGTCCCAAAGAAGTTGGACCCAAGAAGAAACACACCAAGGCGCATCATAATTACATTAGCCAAGGTAAAAATGAAGGAGAGAATCCTAGAAGCAGCAAGAGATAACCTACAGGGGACAGTAGGGGACAGTAACCTACAAAGGAGTTCCCATCAGACTGTCAGCTGATTTCTCAAAAGAGACCTTACAGGCAAGAAGGGGCTGGAAAGAAGTATTCCAGGTCATGAAAAACAAGGACCTATATCCGAGATTACTCTATCCAGCAAAGCTTTCATTTAGAATGGAAGGGCAGATAAAGTGCTTCTCAGATAAGGTCAAGTTAAAGGAGTTCATCATCACCAAGCTTTTATTTTATGAAATGTTAAAGGGACTTATCTAAGAAAGGAAGATTTAAAAAAAACATGTATAGTAAAATGACAGCAAACTCACAATTATTAACAACCACACCTAAAAATAAAAAACTAAGCAATTAACTAGAACAGGAACAGAATCACAGAAATGGAGATCACATGGAGGGTTAGCAACAGGGAAGTGGGAGGAGGAGAGAGGGGGAAAAGGTACAGAGAATAAGTAGCATAGATGGTAGGTAGGAAATAGACAGGGGGAGGATAAGAATAGTATGAGAAATGTAGAAGCTGAAGAACTTATAAGTATGATACATGGACATGAACTAAAGGGGGGGAAGTGGGTGGGGGAGGGTGTAAAGGGTGGAGGGGAGTGAAGGGGGAAATGGGACAACTGTAATAGCATAATCAATAAAATATATTTAAAAAAAGAAAAACAATTTTTAAACATTGTAAATAAATAAATTGAAAAAATAAATTATATTAAAAAAATGAACCAGTGCTAAGAGACCAGGCTCCTTATTCATTTGTGACAGAGAGAAATGCCTTTGAGTTACCACTAGGCGGGGTTAGATCAATGCTAAAGGGAGGTCTGAGGGAGCTTTAGATCCCTTTCAGGGGTTTGCATGGAGCAAGTTGGGTCGTCATGGTTAATAGGCTTTCATGGAATATCAGCATCGATTTGCAGGAGACAGAGATGTGGCCTCATACCTGACAGTTTGTCTATGCTGTGACTAGTGTCTTTTTGTTATTTATTGCCGAAATTCTCAAAAGATTCTTTAAGGGACACCCCAAAGAGAGGCTTTTAGAAATGAGACAATCTAGGAGAGGCACCTCCTCCTTCCTACTATGCAGGTGTGCAGTTTTGTGGACTGCACATGGATGGGAATGCCAGTAACTCAGTAACTTGAGGGGGGACAGTGAAGGCAGGGAGGGCTAGACTATCATCTGCCAGAGCAGTGAGGCAAGAAACTTTATTGTTCTAACCCAGAAGGAGAAATAGTACCAAATTTTCCAGATTACAAAGGTGAATCTGGGGACGAAAGGGAGAAGGTGGAAATGAAGATTTTTTTTATTGGCAGAGGGGGAGCATTGAGGCTCTACATGCTGGTTTCAGGCCAATCACCCCACTAGGTTGGTCCGTGCTCCACGTGGCCGACTTGGAAGTTCAGAGCCCAGGAATCTCGCCACAGATGGAGAGCCCCATAAAGGACAGAAGCTGGACTTCAAAACATGAATCAGGGTCAATTGCCAGTGCAGTACCTTTAAGAAGAAAAAGAGACATTTTACAAAATAATTATTTAATCACTTTATGATCCCAAAGTAGAGTGGGTATACTAGGTCTGTCCGGAAAAAGTCCAGTCATTGTTAATATAACAAGAACAGTTTGTGAGACATCAATGTAACATGGCAGCCAAGGAGAATAGACTGGAATGTGCAAGTGTGAATGATGATGACTTCACTGTTACAGTCAGTGGGGGTGGTACACACTGTTGAGTGAGCATGGGTACTGTGTGACTGCCATATTCAAAATGACTGAGTGAGTAGAGCAATGGATCTGCATCAAATTTTGCATTAAGCTTGAACATTCCTTTGCAGAAATTATTCAGATGATTAAGAAGGTCACAGCTGTGGACAACTGGTGATTGGCAGCTTCATCAAATACACACCCACTCACACATCACGTCTTGTGCAGAGGTTTTTGTCAAAACATCAAATCATCCAGGTGACTCGGCCCCCTACAGTCTAGATTTGGCACCCTGCGATATCTGGCTTTTCCCAAAACTAAAATCTCCTTAGAAAGGGAAGAGACTTCAGGCCTTCAGTGAGATTTAGGAAAATATGATGGGGCAGTTGATGGTGATTGGGAGAACTATGTGGGGCCCAACGTGCCTACTTCGAAGGGGATTGAGGCATCAATTTCTATGTATAGTATTTCTTATATTTTGTACATTCTTATAGTATTTCTTATATTTTGTACATTAGTACATGGCTGGACACTTTCTGGACAGGCCTCGTATTACAACTTGCAGCTACATCAGGTGTGGCGCTCAGAAGAGCTCTGCCAGCAAGAGACTTTGGGACTAAAGGGAGGTCTCCCCTGTGCTGTGAGAGCTGGTCCCCCGTCCCTCTTTCTACTTCTTTTACTGACCTTTGATCATCCTCCTTAACCCCCAGCCCCTCAAGTTCTCCTCCTTTTCCTGCTGGGTCCCCCTGTTAAGAAGTCTTGTTCGTGGGGTTAATTTACCCTAAGATATAAGTGACTGGCAATAGCCTAATGGGAAGAGACTACTGACTATATCCTGAAAAGCGGGTCATTTGGAAATTTCTTATCTGGTAGCTTTCCAAGCTGACCATCACTGATCCCCACCATATTCCCAGCAGGGGTGCCAGCCTGAGATGTCCCTTCCCCAGTGCAGTCTAGAACTATTAGGGTCCTGCTTGCCAACCTCTGGGGAGCCTGAGAAACAGGGGGAGTGAGAACCCCAAAGCAATGGACCTGTAACAGTGGGTCACCAGGCACTATGCTGCTCAGGCAGGAGGTGAGGAAGCTTTGGATCAGGTGACAGTATCCACCAGCTGTCAAATTCTTCAGATGACATGACTGTCCTCAGCCATCCAGTAAAGCTAAGCTACCTCTGCTCCCTGTTCTCAGTGAGCCCCAATGCCAGGAGACCACCTCTGCCACAAGAGGAAATATATCCCAGGCTGCATTATTTTTATACCCAGTAGCAAAAAAATGGAATAGGCCCAAAAACTGTCATTAGAACTTCCCATGATCTAAAAATTGTATTGCACCTTTGGTCTTGCCAATGGTCTTGGGTTTCTACTTATTAACACACCTTCTTTTTGCTGCTGGGCAAAGTAGGTAGGGACCTCTCGGCACATGTCCTTGATGGCCATTCCGTACTGTGCTAAGTTCTTGACCTGGCTGGTTAGGACAGTGTAGGTAAGGCCGCGAGTGGGTGGGTAATGCTTTAAAGCCTGGAAGACGTGGAATTTGGAAATGATGAGACAGCATATAGAGGTGGTGCAGCAAGGAAGAAGGGACAAGAAACGTATTTTAGCACATGAGTAAACATGTGCTAAAGCGTGATTCATTTTACACAAATAGCTATAAATCCAAACTTGCCCTTGTTTTGTCTCTAGCTGAAATATTCTCTCTGGCCACAAGGTGACAACATTACTCCAGAAAAATATGTGAGGGAGCCTCTGTGTGTGTGTGTGTGTGTGTGTGTGTGTGTGTGTGTGTGTGTGTGTGTTGTGCGCATATGCGCAAGACTGGGTTTATACTCCTTTAACTCTTCTTATTTCTCAACTTGCCAACCGTCAATGATTTTCTCATCTGTGATGATAATCTAGAATAGTTTAAAAATTATTTGTTACTTGTTATAAATCAAATGAGTGGAATACTTTCAACCTCTCTCTTTATGTGACCCAAAGTGCATTTCCCCCCAAATTCAGTGACTCTCCTGCCATGGACATTAAAGTTGCTCAGCTGATCTGGGCAGGTTACTGAAGGAAGTGACAGCATGTTTCAATGACTTGGCAAGGGCTTCATACTGATTTTTAATTTATTTGACTACCCTTGTCATTTGAGAGGCTGAAGGAAAGAGAGTTTCAGCAGACCTGGGCTCATTTTCATCTAAAGACGATATGTATGTGTGTGGTTGGGGGAGGGGCATGCAGGGGAGTAGTGAAGGCACGGGATTTGAACACTCCATTAGTTCACACTAATAGCTGTAGTCAACAATTTGTATTCACTAACATGTAGCTCACGCCCTTTTGGAATATATAAAATTATGTCATCATATGGAATTTTTATTGACTCAATTATGATTTGACTTAAATGGGCCATGGATGGGACTTGGGGTCCTTGGCACGATGGTAGGATTTCATGGGCATTAAGCACAAGCAGGAAGTGGGTTCCCCCTGTGTGTGCACAATTGTCCTAGTAGGTCAGGATGCAGAGTTGGAAAACAGCAGACTAGAGGATCACAGTGAGCTGGTCTCACTTACCTGGTGGTCCAGGGCCTTCTTAATGTCATCCAAAGTTGGAAAGGCAGCTTGGTCCATCTTGGCCAAGACACAAGCCATCTTGCTATACAGCTTAGCCACCAAGAGGGCCTTAAAGCAACGTAGCAGAACTATGTCATTCATTCATTCAGTGTCAGTGGCTCCTACTCAACATCAGTGCTGGCACATAGCTGTCTTTAGACTATGATGTAGGCCACCCAGGAGAGTGCTGCCCTGACATCAGAGTGAGCAGCAGCAGGACTGGCAATGCACAAAGATCCTCCTGCTTCCGAGGGCCTATGGCACAGTAGCTGCTCCTGGCTTGGGAAGAAATCTCCCAGGGCACTCTACCCACCACTAATGGACTGGTGGCCCTGGAGCCAGGCCTGGCTGCAAAGCTGACCTTAGGGTCCTATTCTAGCCTTTAGCAGCTGTCATGGTCCTCAGCTGCCTTCAGAACCCTCTACCTCCCCATCTGTAAAGAAAAAACTACAGGCCTCCCCCCACCACAGGTTTGTCATGATGACAAGAGGATAAGCTGAGACACTACTGCTTATGAATGCATCCTGCAAGTTACAGAATGTTCTCTGAGGACTCAAAGAACTTATATGCACAACCCATGGACATGAACTAAGGATGGGGGAATGCTGGAGGGTGGGGGGGGGGGGGCAGTGCAGGGGGGATAAAGGGGGAAAATTGGGAAAACTATAATAGCATAATCAATAAAAATACTTTAAAAAAGAGAATGTTCTCTGAATATCCATATAGATTGGGGTCTTTGGATCATACCCTCTAGACTCAGATTCTAGATCTGTGTCTGCCACCAACTGTCCCTCCATATGGCCCTGAGCCTGTCATTTAGCCTCTTTCAGCTCTGGATGGGAGAAGTGGTTCTCCAGCTCTGTCTGACTGAGCTCAAGGGCACTTCACCTGCATCTCCCTCCTCTCACCAGAGTAGTTCTGACTTCTTTTGTTCTATAGAATGGAATTCTATGGAATATCTTGTTTGAAAAAGACATTTCTATGGCTTAAAACAGAGTTGAAAATCACTAAACTGCATGCCACATAGGAAGATTCAGGAAATGTCCCCTTGAGGAAGTCAGGAGTGTGTTAGGTGCAGAGTGAGGGAGGATATGTTTGGGGAAGAGATCATGATAGTAGATGCAAGTGGGAGCGGACACAACACCTGCATTTGAGGTGTCTGTCCTGAGATGCCCCGTGTGGAGGCAGATGGAGGGGCTTCTAATCAGCAATGGCTGGATGTCAGAGGGTCTTCTGGGTTAAAGTGAGGAATGTGGGCTCCTACTTCATTTAATCCTCCTAGAGTTCTTTCAGATGCTCCCTTGCAGATGAGAAAGCAAAGGCACAGCAAGCCTGAGTGATGCCTCTGTGGTTAAAGAGCTTTTCTATCAGAGAACTAAGTCAAAGGCATAGGCAATCACTTCCCAATCCTGCATCTTCCTGCTAGGTCTAACTATCTAAGGACACAGGTGGTCAGGTTAAGGCAAGATTTCTAAAAGGGAAAGTAAATCATTCTTATTTGTAAATAAACTAATTAAAATCTGAGCTCAAGACAAAAGAACATTTATAGTACATACCAGATACAAGAAATGGGGTTCTTTAAATCATTCTCTTATTTCAGAGACCTACAGGAGCTATGTGAAGTCAACGCCTCCCAGGAACACAGATGGATGTGGGATCCCTAACTACAGAAATTCCTCCTACAGTTGCTGGCTCAAAAAAGTCATACAACTTCAGGAAAGCTATCCCTTGCCTAGAAATAGGCATTCCCATTGAAAGCCTAAACCTAGGGAAGGCAAATGTAGACCATGCCCTCTTCTCTCTGGCAAAGCATAAGGCTAACTTTTGGAGCAGAAAAGGCTGCCTTTGGCATTGTAAATGAATGTGTTCAACAGCTTACATTCTTGTAGTCCAAGACTCCATACCATTCACTCAAAACATTGTTGTCTCGGATGTAGACCATACCTCGGAAGGCATTGACATGGATGCTCTGAGTCCCAACAGAGCCATCCAGAGGATGGCTGTCACTGATGTTCTGGAGAAAACCAAGCAACAAGGAGAAGAGTTGGAAATCCAGTTTTTGCTTTGCCCATATCTTACAGGTTTAAAGGGACACTCACAAGAACTTGAGAAAAGTCATCCTAGATTATCACTTATGAAATATTCCTGCTAAAAGACTACACAGGTTGGATCCCTCCACCCACACTCACCATCAGGGCCAGAGATGGAGTTAGGAAGAACATCACAAGGAGGGAAGACACAATCTGAAATGGAAACAAACATCAATGTAACCTAGCTATCTTAGTCTCAGATGAGTCCAGAGCCTGGAATTCAAAGGGCCACCAGGGTAAGAGCCTTCTTAAAATGACTTCACAGATCCTTGTACCTCTGGGGCCCCAGTGTGCATTGGAGGACTCTTTGGTGTGGTTTATATGGAGAGTGCTGGCTACTCAGAAGGCAAAGCTTTATTGTTCATTCGAGAACTTTTTTTTCTCTCTGTGTCTACTGTCAAATCACTGGGCTGAATATTAGGCAACTTACCAACCACTTTACCTACACACAGGACAGGACCATCTTAAGCCAAATTGTAAAATATGATAATTCAGGTTCTCAGTCTCCCCTTTCTGTACCTTCCTCCTCTCTTCCAACCATTGAGGATCCCTCTCTGCCCCCTCTGGCACCTGCTATCCTGCAGCTTTCCTTTCCTTTTCTTGCCCACTTTGCCCGAGAATAAAGGACCTGGCACTGCTTATTTACACCTCATTTGGAAATAGATTTTACTAAAATGTTACTAGTTCTTGAGGCATTTTCAGTGATCATTTTCTCTTGGTATGGCCTGCCTTGCCTGTTGAAGGAATTTCAGGCATCAGAGTGTAAGTGAAAGAGAATTAGCAGGGAAGGAATGGGCTAGGCTATGTAAATGTAACAGTGAGCCTTCCCCCATTTGAGGGTCACTCAGCTCAAGCGCACTTACAACATAAACAAAAACTGACAGGCAACCTCCCTCTCCCCCATTCCCACAATACTCTATGCAATGTTCCACATGCCAGATACCATAAAAGTTAGGTTCATCTTCAAAGAAAAAGAAAACAAATACTCTATGAACAATAATCATAATGCAATGAGATTAAGCAAGGAGATACATGAGATGCAGATAGCATTTTACTAAACTATTCTGAGAGTTAGGGCCATATATCAAATACATCTGAAACTTTCCTGACAATTTTTAAATAAGATAAAACCATGCAGAGAGGACCCTAAAATATGAATATCTACTCAACCCCCAAAGATTCTTGGCCTTTTAAGGAATTAGTTGTTAGTTCTTTGGGGAAATACCCATCATTCAGGTAGATGTTCCAGAACAGAGAGGTTGCCAGCAGAGAGGTTATGTGTCAAATTAATATTTGGAAATTCTGTTTGGGTTTAATTTGAAGAGTCCACAGTGGGGGAAAGAATTGCTCCCTGGCAAATTTGGCTCTGAAAACACAATCACCTGCACCTGAAACCAGAAAGTATACTTACCAGCTGTTTCATATTGCCTCTCACTCAGACCCCATGCAACTGCACGCATAATAGAATTTGCTATGTCCCACTTATTTTCTAAGTCTGGTTTATATATTCCAGGACATTTCAATTATTGCCATAATAAAGGACTCTGGATAGTTAATCAAAATCCAGATACCATTTGCAGGGGAAAGGCAAGTTTATGTAATTACAGTTATCACTTTTCTTTAACTACTTCTAAATATTTTCCCTTTACTGTGTTATCGCTACTGGTTTCAAGGCAAACATGGCACATGAACAAGTCTTTGTGGGTTGGCATGCCCGTGACCTTAATGACTAAGGTAAGAATTGGAAATGTTAGATCGTGCAAAATGGTCCTGGTACAAAATCAATGAGTTCACCCTTTCAGCTTCTCAGTTCCAGAGGAGTTCTATACTAACAGTGGAGGGTTGAGAAAAACTTTACGAAGCCAAAAGAAACAGATCAGAATTATAAGATTGGATTGAAAAGCAATCTGGTTAGTTCTTCATCCAAACCCAAAATCACGTGGTTGGTCTTTCACCATCTTCTGGCCACCCACCAAGCTGGCCTCATTTGACCTCTTCAAACATTCACCTCTGATTGACTTTTATGATATTCTATGTTTTGCTTTCCCTCTATGGTTTGCTCTCTTCCACCAACTTTCACTTCAGGGTGATTTTCTCCATAAAGGACCATTCGACCAGCCCTGGAACCCCTGAGACAATGAGAACACCTTTCTATGATGAGCCAAGTACTAATTCAGGCCTTTTCCTCTATTATCTTATTTTTCTCAAACCCTGGACTTGTGGGGACCCGACTATTTGGGTCAAAGTCCAGAACTAAACAGATAATTTTTTTCTGAGAGAAGATGAGATATGGATGAGCTTAGGCACTAAACTGATCAAAGAGTAAAGACATATCTCAGTCCTTACAGGGCTTAATGCAAATTGGCAAAGGGAAACTGAAGTAGATGGGCTTTGGGAACTATCAGACTACCCGAGGCTCAGAGAATATCTCCATTACTTTAAGTACTTTGAAAAAAAAATGCACAGAGCACATATTCAGTAGTTACTGACTGAATGAGGAAAATACATTAAAAGAATGTCTTTCATCATTTTGCATGTGAATTTTGCAGTTTCCCCAACATCGTTAATTGAAGAGACTATCCTTTTCCCATTGTGTGTTCTTGGAGCCCTTGTCAAAAATTAGTTGAATGAATATACATTAATATATATTATGTCTGAGCTCTCTATTCTGTTTCATATGTCTATGTGCCTGTTTCTATGCCAGCACCATACTGTTTTGGTTACTATAGCTTTTGGTAACATAGTTTGAAGTCAAGTTGTATAATGCCTCCAGCTTTGTTCTTATTTCTCAGGATTGCTTTGGCTATTCAGATTAAAGACTTAAAACTAAGACCTGATACTGTAAAGGTCCTAGAAGAAAGCACAGGGGAAGAGATCTTTAACATTAATCTTGGCAATGATTTCTTGAATGAGACACCAAAAAAATAGGCAGAAAAAGCTAAAATAAACAAGTGGGACTACATCAAGCTACAAAGCTTCTGCATAGCAAAGGAAACAATCAATAGATTAAAAAGGTGACCCACAGAATGGCAGAAAATATTCTCTAATATATAAAGAACTCACACAACTCAACAGTAAAAAGGCGAATAACCCAGTTAAACAATGGGCAAAGGGCCTGAATAGACTTTTTTTTTCCAAAGAAGACATATAAATGACTAATAGGTGCCTGAAAAGATGCTCAACATCATTAATCATCAGGGAAATGCAAATTAAAACTACAATAAAATATCATCTCACACTTATTAGGATCACTGTTGTCAAAAATACAAGAAATAACAAATATTGGTTAGGATATGGAGACAGGGAACACTTATCAGTGGTGTCAAACTTATTTTCACTGGGGGCCACATCAGCCTGGAGGTTGCCTTCAAAGGTCCACCTTGTATACCGTAATTTTAGGACAGTATAAATGTAACTACTTCTTAACAGTTAAGCGAGAGCTCGGCACTGCCTTCGAGTAGAAACAAGGTACCCGGCCAGATAAAACAAGGTGGAGGGCCAGATTCGGCCTGCAGGCCTTGTGTTTGTCACCTGTGACTTATACACTGTTGATGGGAATGTATATTGGTAGATTCACTATGGAAAATAGTCTGGTGATTAGATAATTAAAAATTGAACTGCCACATGATCCAGCAATCCTATACCTGGGGATATAGTCAAGTGAATTGAAATCAGTAACTTAAAGAGATATCTGCACACCTACATTCATTGCAACATTATTCACAATAGTCAAAATATGGAAACAACCTTGACTTATAAAAGTATCATTTAATTTGTAAATCAATAAGAAAACGTGACTATATGTGTGCTTGTACACACATGCACACAGAAATATTATTCAGCCATTAAGAAGAAAAATTCCTGCCATTTGCAACAACATGTATGAATCTGGAGGGCATTATATTAAGGGAAGGCCAGACAAAGACAAATACTGTTTAGTATCACTTAAATGTGGAATCATAAAAAAAAAAGAAAGAAAAAACATAAGAGAAAGCCAAGAGAATAGAGAAACAGAGAATAGAATAGTGGTTTCCAGAAGCTGGAAAAGGGAAAATGGGGTAATGTAGGTCAAAGGGTACAAATTTTCAATTGTAAGAATAAGTTTGAAGGATGTAATGTACAGCATGATGACTGTAATTAATAATACAATATTGTATATATGAATTTTGCTAAGAATGGACAAATTTTCTCACCACACACAAAAGAAGAGTTACCTATGTTAACTATGTTAGGTGATGGGAATGTTCATTATTTTGATCTTGGTAATCATTCTACAATGTATATGTATATGTATATCAAGTCATCACATTTTACACTTTAAATATATGTAGTTATATTTGTCAGTTATTTCTCAATAAAGTTAAAAATGAAAGAATAACTTTCAGGGACTAACAAAATAGCAAGCTTTCTCTCTAAGTAGGCGGTGGAAGTGTGGAAGAACTAAAAGTCAAACCTTTTGTTTTGAGGCCCAGGGAGTTTGTGAGAAGCTTTTATATAGAGCAATCAAATTAGCATCCAGAAGTGATCTTAAAATCCAGTGTGGATTCTCTAATGAAAATGTTGCAGAGATCACCAGGAGAGAAGACAGAAAGGACTATGAGTTGCAGAACGTTAAAGGGAAATGTAACTGTATATATCAGTAAGACACTTGACCGCCTTCATTGTCATGACTTCGTTTGTTTCCTATCACTACCTGTGAGTTAGGAGAAACAGCCATTGTTAACTAACTTTATGGATGAGGACATGCAGTCTGTAGAATAACTCTCAGGAACCAAGGACAAATCCTGGCTCTGCAGTAACCAGTTCTATCAGTGCAGAGTCAAAATTGGAACTCCAGTCTGTGGATTTCAAAGGCTCCAACTACACGCATTTTCCCCAACAATGTGCTGCCTTTGGGGCTCATTAACTTTAAGCTGTAGATTAACAGAGCAAGGGCCCCGAGAAACAAATATCTCCTTTCATGTCCCCTTTATAGTTGTTTGCTTTTCAGATAACCAAGCAGAGCAGCTAATTTTCTTGGAGTCTCTCCCTGGGCAAATAGGGACTGTGATCATTCAGGTCATAGACAGCCAAGCCCCACCCCTTCTGTCCCTAAGTCCAGGTTTGTGGAGCCTGGGGACCAAAAGTAAAGGCAGCTCTGTCATAAAGGCAGAACCAGAGATGATTCCAATGTATTTCTTATCATAGACCTGTCCCAAAAAGAAGGAGCACATATACAGGAATGCAAACAAAATGGAGACTGGAGTCAGAAAGAGCTGTGAATATCAGGCCCCAAGAAATCAGAAAACCATGAGGTGGACAAACTCAGTCACTTCTAAGTTTCCCACTCATGAGCATCTGGTGTGAGAGAGGCTGTGGATGTCTGCAGGATAGTCATCTAACTCCTCCCCCCTCAAATATTATCCCTGTAGGACAAGGTTCTGGGGTCACACTCTTCAATTTGTTGGGGTCCCTGATGAGTAATAACAAAATGTTTAGATTATCTTACTCATGTAAATGAGTCTATTATTAAAAGAAATGATGATTATAATGGTGTTTGAATGCTTGTTAAAATATTTATATGTAAGTTAAATAAACTATTCAGCCACATATCAAATCTGCATTTGGCTCTGCAAAGCCAACGGCCATGCGCTCAAAGGAATAATCAATATGTTCCAATCATGGAGTCTCACTAAGGAATGAGCTCTGGCCAAGGCAAAGTTTGAAAAACATCTCCCTTTTGCCCTACATTCTCTCTTTTATTTTTCAATCTGTTCCACAAACTCTTACAGTCTTGCTACTTCACTTCTCAAAAGTCATTCAAGGACTTCCATGATTTGCCATCCCCTACCCTTTGCAAGCCTGTTCTTCCCAACCTATGCGAAGATGCTAACCAAATCTGCCTCTCCAGTGTCACCCATTTGTAGCCCATGCTTTCATAACTCCAGTCCTTGGTTCATGCCTACAGACTCTTTATCCCACTTCTTTCTCCTGTGCATTTTTCAGAGCCGATGAACAGTGTCCCACTCCCCAGCCTTTCTTCACTCCCTGACAATTGGGACCTCTTCTTTCAAAATATCATAGCCCCCTGCTTTTACCTTTTTTTTTTTTTGCTATTTATAGTCTTCATTGTATTATATTTGCTTGTATAGTTATCTAATCAGGCCATTCAGTTGCACATTTATGTCCCTAGATTATAAAATCCATAATATTAGAGACTGCTTTGCCACTCTTATATCTAATATTTAGAATAGTACCTGACATACAGTAGGTACTCAAAAAATATATATGTTAAATGAATGAGTGAATGGATTGCACTGATATATTATCTGGCTCTCCCTTGTAAGTACTTAGTAGTGTCTGGTACATGGTGAGTGCACAGTATATAATTGTTGAATTTAATGGCAAGTCATGGAATCAACTATTTAATAATAATGTGAAGAGGAAGACAATTAAAATCGAAACAGAATAGTATGCACAACAAGGAAAAATGGATCTCTTTATAAGTTCCACTGACAGTGCAAATTATAAGGTTAG